CCAAAGGAGGTAAAGAAATTAAAATTGATATAATCAATATAATAATAACAATAATATTATAATTATACAATAAATAAGGTAAGTATTTTATTTATTTTATTTCTATCTCATGTATATATCGTAAAAGGATTTTAATAAATGAAAAAATATATAATGATAGCAAAAGGAATATGAGTCAACGAATGATGATATTTTCAAATATATAATTCTCAAATAAACTTATAACTTCATTGAAAGAACATAGTATGTATTGGTTAAATAATCTATTTCCTTTGTTTAGAATAATATATGATTATAATAGTCCTTTTAAATCATATTATATATTTAAATATTTTTCACTCATAAATTTTATCCCTAAATTAAAAATTGTAAACATTTATACTCATTTATACATATTTATCTATTATCATTCTATTATTTATTAAGTTATATCATCATATTAGTATCGAAGAAAATTCAATAATGTTTTCGAATTCAATTTTAGGATGTCTTCGCGCTAAAAAGTTAATATTAACATATCGCAAACATTAGAAATATCATAAAACAATGTTCACACAATAAAACATATCGTTGATTCAGGAACAGGAAAATCTTCATACAAGAACATCGACTGGAGTAATTGAAAACCTCGACGTTAAGAGAATTCCAATACAGAAAAATATTAACATATCGATGAGAATGATCGAAACTCTGAATAATAAAGAAATGTCCGAAGAACTGGTAAACCATGTCAATAAAAACACCATCGAGAAGAAAAAGATGCTGATTGAAGTTAACAGAAATAGCAATTTGCTTGTTATACCGGGAACTATACACAGAATAGTATTCGATGTGATGAACAAATGCGTTTTACCTGTTAGATATGCATTCAGAGTAAAGAGTAGTCCTTTTAGATTATACAATATTCAACCATCCTAGTAAGTTACTAAATATATTAGAATAAAAAAGCAGGCATTGATTAAAATTATATTTTTTTTAAAATTATTTCAAATTAAAAATATTTTTAATTATTTTCATTTTTTATCATCTTTTATATAATAGATAAGACTAAAATTATATCTGCAAATTTTGAAATAGTAATACTTGAAAATTAAAATTAATTTTTATCATAAAAATGCAAACAATAACAAAAAACTCTATTTATTTAATCTAATCAGGAAACAAATAATTGATATGAACTGAAATTCATGGGGAATTCAATAATTCATCTTATTAAGTTCAGATAAATCTAATTCAATTAATTAAATAAAATTTCGTTCTATTAAAAGAAGTTTTATCTATTTGAATTTTTTTACACATAATTTTATCTTTTTCTATTGATAATTCGATTATCAACAACCTATTTTAAGTGTATATAGTTATCAATTATAGTAATACAATTAATATCAATATCAAGAATCTGTCAAATTTAATTATGTATATATATATATCAATTAAAAATTATCCACATTTTATCCAGTTATCTATCAAGTTTATTAATATCAGTTAATTTTAATCAATGATTATACCGCTATTTAATACTATATGATTGCAATTATTAATATCTCAATTTTTTATGTGATAATATTCTATTTATTATTTACTAATTATTTATATTGTAGCGTATGGATTTATCCTGGACAGATGAGCAATGTAGCGATAGATTTGATTATACCCGACAATGTTGCACCAGATACAGCTAATACAGTCACCTTATCTATCTCGGGTACTGAAATAAAGGAAAAATCTGTATATTTATATGTACAAGGATCACTTTCAAAGGTAATCATTAAAAAAGTCGATCAGAAAAAACAGTAATTTTCATTATAGTGTGTTACAATATCTAGCTAACAGATGATATAAAACCAATTATCGAATATTCTTTCAATGATAATTGCGTTGGAAAATTGGAAAAAGATCGATGCTATAAATCTTATTGGAGCGTCGATATTACAATTCAAGATCATGATTCAGGTATTGATTAAATTTTTTAAAAAACTTTTTTAAAGAACTTTAATTAAAGCAAAAATATCTTTTTTTTTTATAATCTAACATAAATAAATTAGTATGAAACTATCTTGTTGCTTTATTCATATTTATTTAATATAAATTTAAACTTATTTATTTATTATATTTATTATATTTATATTATATATATATAAACTTATAAAATGCTCAAACTTTTTAAAAGTTTTATTAAAATGATATTACCGTAAATTTTATATTTTTAATTTATTTTAAAAATTTTATTTATAATATGTTTATAAAAATATTATATAAAAAAATTTTATCTTTTTTATGTAGGTTTAAAATGTGTAATATCATCATTAAATGATATTTATCCACGTATGGATTTTATTAGTGGTACAAGAAATCCTATAACATTTTATTATTCTGCTACGTGTTGTGATAAAACAGTCAAAATTACAGCTATAGATTTACTAAATAATTATAACACTATAATTATAGATGTTACAGGTAATTAGTAGATACATTAGTATTATAATATTTGTTGATATAATTTATTATTCAATAAATAAATATATAAATCAAATATAGAAAAATTTATCATTAATATATATATTATAAATTTATTTTAAACTTTTCATTAATTTAAAAAAAAAATATTACAGAAATATTTTGTATTTTTTTAATAAAAAAAAATGTGATCTATCCTTTCAGCATGGAACAACTTATCAGAAGCAGAAATTGCAGCTATTACAACGGGAGCATTATTAGCTTTGTTACTTATTGTTTTAATTGTTATTTTAATCATATATTGTGTTCGAAAAAGAAAAAGTCATGATTTGCCTTATACACAACGATATGGATCTAGGCCACCTACACAATCAGAAAGAACTAATTTCTAATCCTTTATTAATACTGAAAATAACTGAAATAAAATAATACTAAAATAACTGAAATATGTATATTAAAATAATATACATTGAATATATAAACTTTATTATTATAGAAGTTAATATTATAATTATTACAATTAAATTATATTTATACAAAATATATAATAAATGTACATAAATTGTTATTAAATTTTAATCTAATATAAAATTTAAATATATAATATTATAATCTTAATATTGATATTAAGTTAAAGAAATTATATAATTGTAAATTAAAAATGTTAAAAAAAAATGAAATATTAAAAAAACAAAATCTGTTTCAATATTTTGAATATTTATTTCTATTATTATAATTAATCAATGAGTAATATAATTAAAAAAAAATAAAATAGATCTGTTTATTTTACAATTATATAAAATCATAAACAATATTAAGTTTAACACAAATTTAATTTTTAAACAAAATAAATATATTGAATTATTAAATATTTCTCTTTTGTAAAAGATTTTTAAAATTAATAAAAAAAATAATATAACAAACAATGTATATATTTATCCAAATAATGTAACGTGAAAAATAAAAGGAGGAAAACAATTGTGATGTCGATAGTTTTATAATAAATATCTATTCACATATTTTATTACGTGTTAACAAAATTATGAAAATATGAATCTCTAAGAACCCCACCCAGGTACTTCATTAACAGACTTACCATCGCGGAGTACCGCAGGTGTTGCAGGCATAACAGGCACCAAAAATGCATTTTCAGTATAATTTTCAAACGGAAAGCCTTCACCAGCTGCTGATAATAATGGATTTTTCACTTTACGTGATGCACCACTCATATTTGTAGTGACTTTGGCAACTTAAAAATACTGCCATCAAAAGATAACTAAACTACAAATTGCAAAACACTGTCAATCCACCATAAACTATAAACATTTAACCTATACTTTATAGCGCCACGTCTACATAAATAAGTAGTACATATATGTGTAATAGAGGTCGCATATGAAAGGCGAGCAAAACTAAGGAATTAATATCTGAAAGACTTAAAAACATGCTGCTGCACTCTATAGAAACATATGTGCGCATGCGTTATTTAATATCAGGCTATCTTCAGAGAATTAATCTTTGAAAATTAATTTTTTTTTAACTAAATTATAAAATATCTTTTATTTTTAATTTCCATATATTTAATAGAAATATTAATATCATTATAATATTAAATATAAAAATATATATTTTTTCTATTTAGAAAGATAAACATTTATTGTTCGACGCGGGAATTTCAAAATAATTTCAAATACGATTTCAATTTCTAAAAAAGTAAAAAGTTTTTTTTTTACTTTATATTATATAAAATTATATAATTAATTTATTATAATTTTGTTCTACATTGAAATAATAATAATTAAGTGCATACAAAAAGTATAAAATTGTATAAAAATAGTTATTAGTGATAATATAATAATAATAATGATAATCTACTGTTAGTTATAATTGTTTTAGAAAAATATATATAAAGCTACATATACGTAATATATATATATAAGTAAATATACACATATATAAATATTTTAAAAATGAAATCTTATAAAATCGTCAATAAAATTATATCATATTTAATTGATAAAACTCTGATTCTTCATTGAATTAATATTTTTATTTTTAATTTTATTTTATTATCTAATTTTCTACTATCTTATTTTATTATCTAATGGATAGTTTGTGAGATAAAGTTTAAATATATATATGTTTTATTTATTCGATAAGATTTCATTATATTTTTTTCTTTCCTTTTTACTATAATGTATAGTATCATTTTTTATACATATTGTATGTATATAATTAAAAGGCATTTATTATATATATAATATCATATATAAATCTTTCAATAGTGAAATTAAATGAATGTGTTAAATTTTTTAATATTTTTAATCTCATAAATTTTAACAATAAAAAATTTAATCTAACATTTTAATAACAAATAATAAGTTGTATCGATCAGTATTTTTTTTAAATTTAATCTTTCTTTTTCTTATTTTATTATAATATAGAATATAAAACTGAATGAATTTTATAAATTTGAAAGGTTGGAATGAAATAATATGGAATAAAAAAAATAAAAATTAAATTTAAAAAAATGCAGTTTTTTATTACAGTTTAATCAATTTTATATTTTTTCAACATTTTATATTATCAATACATTTAATATATTTTAGATTTTAGAAATTTCAATTTCAATATAACATTAACAAGTTGTGCCAAGATTACTCTTCATCTAAATCATAATCATATTCTTCATTTTCATATTCTTCATTTGATATATTTTCATTATATTTTTCATAGTATTCTTGTGGAAGAGGCCACCAATTAGGAGAAAAATATGGGTTAGGATAGAATGATGGTAAAGGACGTTTGCATGGTTTCTTTGATGGAGGGCGTGGTTTGCATGGTTGTTTTGATGGTCTGCATGGTTTTGATGGATGGCATGGCTTTGGTGATTGCGTATTGGATGGTGGTGTAGGACGTGCTGTAGGACGTGATGTAGGACGTGGAGGTTTAGATGGTGCCTGACTTGTCGGTCGATGTTGAGAACCAGGATTGTTTGTGGGTGATACTGAACTTGGAGGGCGATGTATGCAAGTTGCATTGGGATTTGGATAATCGCATACTCTTAACTCAGGATTGTACTCAAGTCCTGGACTGCATTCCATTAAGAATGGCTTTCCTTCGTTGCATTCATAAAAGGTTGAGCAATCATCTGGATTTGGAAGTAGAACGACATCTTCTCCATTTTCTTCTGGACATGTAGTTGGTATTTCGGCAGAAACGAAAACTAAAATTGCAGCAAATATTGCTACAAATGCTGATATTGCTGAAATAGATGTCAGATAATCTTGATTAATGTTAAATTTTGCAATTATTAAATTAACATTACAACATTTGTAACATTACAAATTTCGATAGAATTTTTACATAAAATAGGTAAATATTATAATATAATGTATGTCTCGTAATAAATGTCTAAAAATTTAAGAAATGATTTTTCCGATCAAATGAAAAGACAAAATAAAAAAATCAAGAATATTAAAATTGCATTTTCAAGTTTGTTTTTTTAATTATTAATAATTAAAAATAAAAAAAAATTCTCGCTTTTTCATAAAAAAAAATCATAAATTTTTTTTTCTGAATAAAATTGAATAAAGATCTTTTCATTATGTTTTAACTTTTAATTAATTAAGTTTTTGTAAAATTTTTAAAAAACTAGAATAGTTTCAAAGAAATAGAATTATTTATTTATAGTGAAAGCGAAATGTATATGAATATATAATGTTTATTTCTTTTGTTAATGACTTATATGAAAAGCATGTATAAATTTATTGCAATTTGTTACAGTTATCTTACCTTTCATTTTCGATGTAAAGATGTAATAAATCTCGTATCGTATTCTTTTCCTAGCTACTATGATACTGTGATTTTATTTCTTGTTCTTTCTTTATATATTCGTTAAAATTTTTTAAAAGATTATCAACAAGATATAAAATCATTTATCATTCTTAACATATCGTGATAAGTTAAAAAATAAAAAATTGTACATTGTATGATTAGTTTATAATTATTAATTGTGACTCATATATTTGTGAATCATAATATTTTTCATTTTTATTATTCTATTTTATTCTTTTTTATATTTTTTATTTATTTTTAAATAAATTTTAATAATAAGTTAATATATTTGTAAATAAATAAATAAAGAGTAACAAATTTATTGTATATTAAATTGAAATATAATTTAATTATATATATTTTTATATATATTTTTATATATATAATTATATATTTTTTATATTTTTTTAACATATAATATTATTTTTCTTGCTGTTTTTTGATATCGAAAAATAATAACAAAATAAAAAATTCTAATAGAAAAATAAAGACAAAAAATGAAATTGAATTACAAATTTTTAATATTCACTTAAAAAAATTTTTAAGAATCACTTAAAAAAAGATAGAATTTATATGCAATAAAATATTAAAATATTTCTTTTTGATATTAAAATCATAATCATTTCAATTAAATATTGTTTAATAAATAAAACAAAAATTAAAAATAACAACAATATTATCTTTCTTATCGATTATTTTAAAAAAATTATGAATGTTCTACAAGAATTTCTTGTAATTTATAGATAATTATTTTTTCAGCTTTTCATTGAAGTCATAATATCCATTATAACTAATGAAATTTTATTTTCAATCAATGTAAGTATAAGTGTAAAAAGTTATTTAAAATAAATTAAAGATATATGTACGTATATATAACTAATAATATAAGTAATATGGAAAGAAAATAATGACATACTTTTAATCATGACATATTTATTTTAATTAATAAATAAATAAATGTGATAAAATTAAAATAATTAAATAAATAAAATATAATATAAATAAATAAATTTATAAAAAATGTTCTACAATATATTATAAATTATATACATATATTTATATTTTTAATTAAATAAACATAATAAATTTGATATATGTTAAATATACATACAAAATGAATATAATTTAATTTGATTCTTTCGAATATATACAATCAAAACTATATAACTATTAGTTATAATTATACGATATAATTATACGTTTGTTATAATTTTTACAATACTTTTTTAAAAATATTGAATTCATGCATGCAAATTTCGTTGTGTAGAAATTTAAACAAAATATTATTTGTTATGAATAAAATCATTGCACTTTGTGATCTAATAATACGTCATATTTTTCATTTATTATTGAAAATTTTACCAATCATTTATATATCATAATGTCATGAATAAAATATGTGTAAAATAAATTATTGTATGTATAAATATATATAAAAAATATTGTATGTCTATATGAAAGATTGCCTATAAATCTATTTCCCAGAAAAATTTTTTTGAAAAAAGAGTGAAAAAAAAATAATATTTATGAATAAAAAATATTATACACTAATTGATTTTCCACTTATTTCAATGTCATATAATATGACATTATTAGTTCACAATTATATTATTTTTTTTTATTTTTTCTATCTACAGAGAAACTTTTTTTTTGATAATATTGCCTTAGAATTACACAAGCACAAAGATGTAATTTTTTTTTACGCATACGCATCAAAGAAGTATAAAAACTTCTACACAAAAATTCAATGGAAAAGACATTATCAAAAGATTTTTCTTTTATTTTTTGTAATTGAATTATCCTGTATTATTTGTTATATTAAGATATATTAAAGAGCAAATAGATTTTTAAATAAATTATTTTAATAAAATAAAAAACATTTTCGTATCTCTTGCAAAAAGTAATTTATGGAAATTAACCTTTAAATTACAACCAATCAGAAAATTCTATTTTCTAATTGGTAAGAAAGATTTCTTTCATGCGTATATCAAAGACGCGATAGTTACGTTAAAATTATTCGAAGATCGAATAGTAGTAAATTTAATAAAAAAAGTGATAAAGTTACATTTATTAAGTGAAAAAAATATATTATCTGAATAAAAATATTTATAATTTGTAATGTTATATAATTATGTGTGAAAATTATTCTTAGTTTATAAAAAGGAGGTGTAAATAGATAATAATTTGTCTCGTTTTGATTAAAGAAAAAAAATAATTATGGCAGATGCTGCAGCAAGACAGTTGCAATATGAATATAAAGCTAATTCTAATCTTGTATTACAAGCTGATGTAAGATTAATAGAAAGAAGAAGTAGAGATGAAGCTACTGGTGAGGTTATGTCACTTGTTGGCAAACTTGATGGAACGCGAATGGGTGATAGAGCACAACGTACTAAGCCAGGAAAAGCAGAGGAACGAAAAGTTAAACGTCAAAAACGAGATGAAGCTCAATATGATTTTACACGAATGAAAGGTGCAACATTGCTTTCAGAAGGTGTAGATGAAATGGTAGGAATAGTTTATCGTCCTAAAACTCAAGAAACACGACAAACTTATGAAGTATTACTAAGTTTTATTCAAGAAGCCTTAGGTGATCAACCAAGGGATATTCTTTGTGGTGCTGCTGATGAAGTATTGGCAGTTTTGAAGAATGATCGACTTAAGGAAAAAGAAAAGAAAAAAGAAACAGAATTATTATTAGGTCCATTAGCTGAAGAGAGATTTGCATTATTAGTAAATCTTGGAAAAAAAATAACAGATTTTGGAAGTGATGAGAAGACTACTACAAATGAAGAAAATATTGATGAAACATATGGAATTAATGTGCAATTTGAAGAAAGCAGTGAAGAAGATGATGAAGATGTTTATGGAGAAGTTAGAGAAAATGATGACGAAGGTGATGAAGGTGAAGAAGCTAATGATGATAGAGCTATTCATGCAGAAAATTTAGGTGGTGCAGAAGAAATGAAGAAAGAAAAGCCGTTACATCCTTTAGACATAGATGCATATTGGTTACAAAGAAGATTAAGCAGAATATATGATGATGCAATGGTCTCACAAGCAAGAGCTGCAGAAGTACTAGCAGTTTTAAAGGATGCTGGAGATGATCGTGATTGTGAAAATCAATTAGTACTTTTATTAGGATATGATTGCTTTGATTTCATTAAACAACTTAAGAAATATAGACATACAATTGCTTACTGTACTATGTTGGCATCTTCACAGTCTGAATCAGAACGTCAAAAAATTCGAAATAAAATGAATGATGATCCTGTATTAGCAAAAATTTTACGACAGTTAGATACAGGTAAAGGTGATGATGATGCTGATGAAACAATGGAAGCAAGGGCACAACGTAAACGGAGAGAAGAAAATGAAGATACTGGAGGTCCAGGTGGTCAAGTTCAGGGTACAAGAAATCTAATAGATTTAGAAGATCTAATATTTGCACAAGGTAGTCATTTTATGGCAAACAAACGTTGTCAATTACCTGATGGAAGTTTTAGAAAACAGCGTAAAGGATATGAAGAAGTTCATGTACCTGCTTTGAAACCAAAACCATTTGCAGAAAATGAGAAACTTTATCCTATTGATCAATTACCAAAATATGTGCAACCAGCTTTTGAAGGTTTTAAAACATTAAATAGAATTCAAAGTCATTTGTATCAAGCTGCATTAGACAGCGATGAAAATTTATTACTGTGTGCACCAACAGGTGCTGGTAAAACCAATGTTGCTCTTTTGTGTATGATGCGTGAAATTGGAAAACATATAAATGCAGATAGTACAATAAATGCAGATGAATTCAAAATAATTTATGTTGCACCAATGCGTTCTTTAGTACAAGAAATGGTTGGAACTTTCAGTAAAAGATTATCCACATATAATTTAACTGTATCAGAATTAACTGGTGATCATCAATTAACAAGGGAACAAATAGCTGCAACTCAAGTTATTGTATGCACTCCTGAAAAATGGGATATCATAACAAGAAAAGGAGGTGAAAAAACCTTTACTTCATTGGTTAGATTGATTATTATTGATGAAATTCATTTGCTACATGATGAGAGAGGACCAGTTTTAGAAGCTTTAGTTGCTAGGACAATTAGAAATATTGAAACAACACAGGAAGATGTAAGATTAATTGGTCTTTCAGCAACATTACCAAATTATCAAGATGTTGCTGCATTTTTACGTATAAAAACAGAATCTGGTTTATTTTATTTTGATAATAGTTTCAGACCTGTTGCTTTAGAGCAACAATATATAGGTGTAACAGAAAAAAAGGCATTGAAACGTTTTCAAGTAATGAATGAAATTGTATATGAAAAAACAATGGAACATGCTGGGAGGAATCAAGTTCTTGTTTTTGTACATTCGCGGAAAGAAACAGGAAAAACAGCACGTGCTATTAGAGATATGTGTTTGGAAAAAGACACATTAGGACAATTTCTTAGAGAAGGATCTGCATCTATGGAAGTTTTAAGGACAGAAGCTGAACAAGTTAAAAATCAAGAACTTAAAGATTTATTACCTTATGGTTTTGCTATTCATCATGCTGGTATGACAAGAGTAGATAGAACATTAGTTGAAGATCTTTTTGCAGATAGACATATTCAAGTTTTAGTATCCACAGCAACTTTAGCTTGGGGTGTTAATTTACCAGCACATACAGTTATTATTAAAGGAACTCAGGTATATAATCCAGAAAAAGGTAGATGGGTTGAATTAGGTGCTCTAGATGTATTGCAAATGTTAGGGAGAGCTGGTCGTCCACAATATGATACAAAAGGTGAAGGTATTCTTATTACAAATCACAGTGAATTACAATATTATTTATCTTTATTAAATCAACAATTACCTATTGAATCACAATTAATTAGTAAAATGTCAGATATGTTAAATGCAGAAATAGTATTAGGTACTATACAAAATATTAGAGATGCAGTTACTTGGTTAGGATATACTTATTTGTATATTAGAATGCTTCGTTGCCCAAATTTATATGGTATAAGTCAAGACAAAATAAAGGAGGATCCATTATTAGAATTGCACAGAGCAGATCTTATTCATTCTGCTGCAGTGGCATTAGATCG